ACATGACATTTAACCAGATTCTGCCCTTGTTGTGTCACAATTTGAATAAAGTAGATCGTTGCGTCACCATAAAGTGATGCAACAATGGATTTCACCAGGATTGTTTAACATCCTGTTCCTAAAAGGCCAGAGAGCTCAGGCTTTTGTGTATGACAGTTTACACAGTAGGCAGTTTCAACAGGTCAAGATCTACAGTATGTCCAGACATGCTTATAAATGCTTAAAGGCACAGCTATATGTACACTGTACACACCTAACCCTAACCCTAACCCTTTATCTGTGGATTTAGATTTGGTATTACTGTATGGTAATACACCCTTATGGTGACCAGAGAGTACATTTATTTGTCAGTGACTCTCCTACTGAGCCTCATCAGTGTCATAACCATAATAAAGTGACAAGGAACACCCTTCTGTGCAATACTGCCTTGATAACAGTGCTGAGTGAGTGTCCTGTACTTCCTGGTCTGGTTGGGTGTCCTACTGATGATACTATGTTTTTTATTTGACTTTGACTCAATATGACCACACTATGATGTGGTGACTTATCAGTTCTTTTGCAGTAAAGCAATATAAAGATAGTTTTTTGGTTTTGTGGCTCTGATTCATTTCTGGGTTAAGCAGGGCTGGGTCAATTTAGCTTTATTTCAGTCTGTTCAGGAAGTGGATTATCTCCATGGGTGACTAAATGTGGGATGGGGCATTACATTCACTGAATCATCATGCTTACAGAAAATGAAGGCTATGTCATTAGCAAATGCAGTAAATCTACTATCATGGACTGAAAGTGAATTAGCCAGTGTCAGTGGCTAGTGGTGTGTATATGTGTGTGTGTGGATGTTAATGGAGTTGTTGTGGTTGAAGATTGATGATTAAAGGTTAATATTAAGAAGATTAATGTTCTTTTTCCTGATATTTATTTTCAGATCGATAAGTACTTGTACTCCATGCGTTTCTCTGATGAGACGTTACTGGACATCATGCAGCAGTTTCGGAGAGAGCTGGTCAAAGGACTGGGACGGGATACTAACCCCACTGCTGCGCTGAAGATGCTGCCAACATTTGTGCGGTCAATCCCTGATGGCTCAGGTTAGTACCTCTAACCCCTATTGCAACCATGGTTACAATATCTTTCAATGATGAAATCAGCATCAAAATCAATTTTCCTATTATCACTGTATGAGTAAGTGTCAACAGAATTGTTATTCTTGCTAAAGGATACTTTATCAAGCAGTTTGTCACCATGGCACCGTGGATCCCCAGTCCAAATTTGGAGAAGCCCGTGAAGAGAAAATTATCCACTAAAATGACTAAATTGACTTCTGTCCATCTTCTTTTTCCTGGCCTTTCACGGCATTTAGTCTACCTCAACTTTATCCCAATAATAAAGGTAGTGAGCCCACAGAGACAGGACTGTTTTGGAACCACTCAGGTCAAAATATTCTAATGTATGCAGTATTAAACTGAGTCATGTAGTCAGCAGGACAGTGTTTTTTAATGGAGAGAGAGAGATGAAAAAGGTCAGTATGTATTTTTTATACTGGCTCGGACTGCCCAGCTTTCAGACCCGGGTGGGGGGCTAACTACTACAGTATGTAGAGCCACTTGGGACAGTTGTTGATGTCAATAATTGAAGTTGTTAATCTGCCTTGAGAACATTACCTGGAAAAAACCTTGCTGATGGTACCGTACTGTACCTTTCACCCCAGATCTCTTTTTTGCATTAATAACCTTAACTTAGAAGGCAAGGTTTCCTCTTGGTATAGTGACTTATACTTAAATATCGTCATCATGTCTCCCTCCTTGTCATTATGTCATTGTCTGCCGCATGCTGTCTGTTCCTAATTTACTGCAGTTGTTTTGTCCTTGAATGTGAGTCAGAATTTGTTCATATCTTGTACGTGCTGTACTTCGGGAGGAGTGTGTCCGTCCACTTAAACTGAGACAGATTTTATTACCTTAGTCAGCTGAATATTAACGGAATCAAAGCTCTCTGCAAACACAGGTCGGTGCAAAATACATATTAAATCTACTGTAGTCTACAACGTGAACGCACATAAACACACACATACACACATCACAGATTAGCACTAATCCTGCTGCCATTGTTAGAAAAGTCCTAAAGTTACAAATGATTTAAGATAGCACAATAGTCAGAAGTATGTGTGGTCTAGTTCCCCTGATAAATGGTGTGTTAAAGAAAGTAATATCTTGCCATCTTCTTACTGCAGGCTTCTCCAGTTTGTTTCATTATCTACTATGTTGTGAGATGTGCACAGATAACACTGAACAGCCATGGAAACGAACGTGACACTGTTATTGCATGGCTCTGGTTTCTTTGTTCCCACTGACCAACATTATTTTAAATAGTTAGAAAACTGGAATTCAAAAGAAACCTTTTCTGTTTCCTCATTATTTTATTGCTCCTAAAGTCGTGTCTGCTGTATTTACATTCCTTTCCAATAAATTATCGGTCAGTCGGCACCACTGATCTGACCTTGCCGACCTGCACAACATCATAATAATCTTTTGCAGATTGTTATAAATTACACTCCAGGGTAAAGTTGACATGTTTCAAACCGTGTTAGAACCTGAAACAACATAATGTGGCATTTCTGTATTTTCAACCATTGTCTACAATCATCACCAACAGTTTTAAAGATTAACTATTTGTAAAGTAGCTGATATACAGATCAATGGTCTTCTACTCTAAACTCTGTCTGCTGCAGCAACAAGAACATTCTGACCTGTAGGACATTTTGTTACTACTTTATAACTGAGGTAAAAGTTACAGTTTTATTTGTTTGTACTGGATCACTAAGAGAGAATAAGAGTTTTAAGGAAAGACTGTGTGCAATTAGTTGAGGGGTTGAGGGGCCTGCTTTCTTGCCTTATCACTTCTTATCAAAGGTCAGTTCACACTAGTCAGTCCTATTACTAATGAGCTATGATAAGCAGGCTATAAACCAATTATGTTCCCAATTTAGATAGACAAATAACTTACTGTCGCTGCTTAGTGCAAAGGGACCATGAACTAAATATATACCTGAATTTTATGGGATTTAACCGTGAGAATAGCTAGTACTCTTAATCACAACCTCATAGTCACCACCAACCACTGTCTACACACACAGAGTCAACTAACCCAGTGTGTGTTTATTCTTAGAGGTTAGGATTGGGATTAAGATCAATGTTTACATACTTTTTATTAGTTGAACACCAGTGTTGGTGTGCATAAAAGGAAATAATGGTGTACCTCTCACTTGACTGATCTTTTTCTCAACTGTATAATGTTAATAATTGTTCAATTTCCTTCCAAATAATCATTTCTGATAAGCGCCTGAATGGGTGATATGGCTACCATAACGCCTGTGGTGGGGTTGGGAAATCATTAACCAATAACTATACAGGAAGTTCATCTTGCAGAATAGATGTAAGCAAACACAAACCTACAGTATACAAACCAGCATACACACATGAAGAAGCGCATAACGCGAACACATAAAAGTACACTGATACACTGCAACCCTTGGTTTCACTTACTGCTTTATTGTATTTGGAGGAGTTGTATGGCAGCGTTGGCTTTCTCAGAAGACATAACTTCTGATAAAAACTCTGAAACAGCTTTCAATGCACTACTTCTTCCCCATGTTGCTTACAGACAACACACTGTGTGGCATTAATTCACTGAAGAGTATTAGTGAGAGCTGTATTTGTTTGCTAAGCTAACAGACGTACTGGTAATATATGTCTTCCTGTTGAGTAGAGTAGAAGTCCCAGTCCAGAGCTGTGGTAGTTTATTTATGATTTTCAGCATTAGTTTAATGATGAAAATGAATCTGCTAGAAAATAAAATGTCACAGTATAGGTCTATGGCTATGTACCTAATGGACATTTCCCCCCCTTTTCTGTTTCCTCTTTCCACTTCCTGTATTCCCACCTTTTCTGCCTCCACAGAGAAGGGAGATTTCATTGCATTGGATTTGGGAGGCAGTAACTTCAGGATCCTCCGCGTCAAAGTGAGCCATGAGAAGAAACAGACTGTTCAGATGGAGAGTAAAATCTATGACACACCAGAGGACATCATTAACGGCAGTGGAACAAGAGTAGGTTTATAGTAAAATACAGGCACACACACACACACATGCAGTCTCTTCAGCTCAACCTGAGAAAATCTCTCCCTCCTTCCACCTCTGTTCCAGCTGTTCGACCATGTGGCAGAGTGTCTTGGGGACTTCATGGAAAAACAGAACATCAAAGACAAGAAACTTCCAGTTGGTTTTACCTTCTCCTTCCCCTGCCAGCAGACCAAACTAGATGAGGTAAAATTTAGTAGCTTTTATTGCAATATCTAAAGATTACCATGCAGTCTATTTTCATTATGAGTTGTAATAAAGGCCTCTCAATCAAGCATCAAATCCCTCCCTTTTCCCTTTTCTCCCTTTCTCACCTCCCTCTGTCTCTCTCTTTCTGCATGTTTGCAGGGCTATCTGCTAACATGGACAAAGCGTTTCAAGGCCAGTGGAGTGGAGGGCATGGACGTTGTCAAGCTGCTCAACAAAGCTATTAAGAAACGAGGAGTGAGTCTTGTCTTTTGTCTCATTTATGCTTATTTGATGCCACATTTATTTAATGCACCTGGTTTAATTCAAGTGTAGATGCAGAATGGCACAGTCAAACAAACTAATTTACATATGTGTGCTTTTGTTTCAGGACTATGATGCTGACATCATGGCAGTAGTAAATGATACTGTGGGAACGATGATGACCTGTGGTTTCGATGACCAGCGCTGTGAAGTCGGCATTATCATTGGTAATACAACAATGAGCATTTTAATAGTGGAGGAATGTGGTTTTGGCATTGTTACAAGTAGAATAAAAGAAAACTAATATAATTATAAACTGTAACAAACGGATGTTTATCAAGGGCAAGGAAACACTTGTAGTCAGGTTAAAGGTCCAGTGTGTAACATTTAGGAGGATTTATTGGCAGAAATAGAATCTAATATTCATAAGTATGTTTTGATTAGTGTATAAATTCCTGTATAAAGGAATCATTTTGTTTCATAACTAGATAAATCTAATAAGTAAGATAGCAATAAGATTAAACTGTAAGGATTTGTGTTTGTATGTGTTTAGGTACAGGTACCAATGCGTGCTACATGGAGGAACTGCGTAACATTGACCTGGTGGAGGGAGACGAGGGCAGGATGTGTGTCAACACTGAGTGGGGAGCCTTCGGAGACGACGGCAGGCTGGAAGACATCAGGACAGAGTTTGACAGAGAGATAGACCGAGGCTCTATCAACCCTGGCAAGCAGCTGTATGTCAAATCAAAACATTTATAGCCTCCTTCATCCTTGAGATAATCTTAATGAGCTACTTTTCAAGCTGCGAGGGAACCACAGAATCTGCTGATGATTAGCTGTCATTTACACAACCAGCTGTTGTTCATGGTTCTAGGTAGAGACGAAGATTAACATGAGTTTGCAAATGGGTATTCAAACCATCTTTCAAAATGAAAGTAAAATATTTTTTTAAGTAGTTACTGGAAGCAGATTAGCTGTGATGCATCTCAAACCCTGCTCTTTTATCTTTAGATGAATGCAGTTGATTTATGATGCCGTCCTTTCAGAAGTTGTGCTGCATGTTTGCTGTTTACACAAGATGTCACAAAAGTCCTGCACTCTGTTAATATGACTAGCAGAGAAAAAGACAGTACTCTTTGTTGGCTCTCTGCCCTTGTTTTTTCCCACATGTCTCTAGCCTCACCATTAGGCAAGCAGCAAGATAATCAGCTCATTAAATGCTTCTTCCAAGTTGACAGTTATTTGTTGGAAAAATACAAGTATAGTATAGTGATATTTATCCAAAGCTTAGGATATTTAACCAAAAGTTTCTGGGTGTTTATTTTACTTGCCTCTCATTTCCTCTTTTACCGTGTGGTAGATTTGAGAAGATGGTCAGTGGTATGTACATGGGGGAGCTGGTTCGTCTCATCCTGGTGAAGATGGCCAGAGAGGGCCTGCTGTTTGAGGGAAGGATCACCCCTGAGCTTCTCACAAAGGGAAAGATTGAGACCAAACACATCTCAGCTATAGAGAAGTAAGTCGAACTACACTTGAATTCCATGCATTTTCTTAATTGAGTAGTTGCATGAAAAAATCCACAAAACTTAAAATCTTATACATCTAGTCCATCATTGTGTCTGTGTCTTCTGTGTTTAGGAGTAAGGAGGGGTTATCCAAGACCAGAGAGATTTTAACCAGACTTGGTGTGGAGCCATCCACTGACGACTGCGTTGCTGTGCAGCATGTGTGTATTGTTGCTTAAAGTAGTACTTGAATCCCTCTTTTCAAAGATTCCACTTAAATTAGGGAAACAATACATGGTCAAAGTATATTGAAGTGACCATTCAAAGCATATAGAAACAACTAAATGAAAACCATAAAAAAAAAAATAGTTTTAGTATTGGTGTATTTTGGTGTTATTATTTAGATTATTTAATTACTAACATAATCGTTTTTTTCTAAAATATCTGAGATATGAGGTTTTAAAGCAGGATCTGATGTAGTATCTGAAAACAGTTTTCAAAAAATAAAAGGTGTTTTTGTTATCTTATTATGGAGTTCATGAAGTTTCTCTGCTCCTCACCCCCTCCAGGTTTGTACCATTGTGTCTTTCCGCTCTGCCAACCTAATAGCTGCCGCACTGGCAGGCATCCTACTGAGGCTTAAGGAGAACAAAGGCGTGGCACGACTCCGAACCACTGTAGGCATCGATGGATCTCTATACAAGATGCACCCACAGTAAGTAATAAGATAAGAATAAGTAGATAAGAAAGTCATGCTCTATCAGCACTTAAATTTGTTTTATTAACTTTTATGTGTGTTATGTTCATGTGTTTCGTTGTTCCTCACTTTTCCACAAAAATCATCGAGGACTGCTGTCAGATATTTGGAGGTGGCTTTTTATATCCTACTTTCACTTTAAGTTCAGCACTTAATTTCTCTTCTATCTATTCCAGATATGCTCGCCGTCTTCATAAGACAGTCCGTCGTTTGGTGCCGGACACTGATGTTAGGTTCCTCCTCTCAGAGAGTGGCAGTGGAAAAGGAGCAGCCATGGTGACAGCCGTGGCCTATCGACTCGCCGAACACTCACGAGAAATTGCCCAAACACTATCCGAATTCCGCCTGACCACCGAACAGCTGCTGGAGGTAAGGACGGAGAGATACTGTAGTGTGTGTGTGTGTGTGTGTGTATTTCTGTGTGTGTGTGTTTGATTGTCTGTGTGTTACTTCACTAACTAATTAGCAAACTTATTTCTTAATTTGTCCAGGTAAAGAAGCGAATGAGGATAGAGATTGAAAATGGCCTTTCAAAGAGCACCCAGGACACTGCTACGGTGAAAATGCTGCCAACCTTTGTACAAAGCACTCCTGATGGCTCAGGTGACACTGACACACACACATGCATATACATACACATTTAGGTTCGCACTTTTGGTCCTATTTAAAACCTGAGCTTAAAGTTTGTTTCAATAAATATACAACACTGACAACAATAACAACAACCGTAACATTTTAGTTAGAGACCATCTATGTAAACTAAGCATTTTCACATTGACATCTTCAGCTATTCTTTTTTTTTGCATTGTATAAGGCCTTTATCTGATTACTGTTTTATTCATCTCTCTGTCTGTTTGTCTGACTGTCTTGTTATCCAGAGCATGGTGACTTCCTGGCTTTGGATTTAGGTGGAACCAACTTCAGAGTTCTGTTGGTCAAGATTCGTTCTGGCAAGAGGAGAACAGTGGAGATGCATAACAAGATCTACGCTATTCCTCTCGAAGTGATGCAGGGCACGGGAGAGGAGGTGAGAACCATCAGACATTTTAGCCATTAATCTGTATGAAACTGGCTGAAGTGAAGCAGACAGTGCATTCAAGCAAATGATGATGGGTGAACGATGGGTGAGAATTTAACCTCCTGTTACCATGGCGGTACTGTAAAGATTAGGGTATAAAGTAGGAGTTAGGGGGTGTGACGCTCATTGGCTCAGGGATAAGAAGATAGGATGGAAGCAAGGAAGACAGTCGACAGGTTAGAGGCAGACAGAGCGGTCGATTGCTCGAGATTAGCATTGAGTTGACAGTCTTTAAAACATTTGAGCTTAACTCTTGTGCACCGGCTGAGGCTAATCCTGTCTGTCACCTTTGGCCTTTTCATCCTCACTCTCACTCCACCGTTTGTTTATCTGCCTTATGTACATAGGACAAGAGAGTCAGAATAGAAATGGCACTATTTTGTTTTTACTTATTTTGCCCAATTAGACCTCTTCTCCAGATTGTGCCCACTCACCTCTGGCCACTACTGTGTTACACAGGGAGTAAAAATGTGTTCTATACAGTCCAGTATGAGTCCATCAGTGCCTTTTTGAAGCCCAAAGGGATTACATTTTCTTAACTTTCAATGGTAGAATGAATCCCTGATTGTATACTGTAGTTTCACATATTGTCTTATCTGCTTTCTTCCAGTTGTTTGATCACATTGTGCAGTGTATCAGTGACTTTCTGGACTACATGGGGATGAAGAACACTCGTCTTCCCCTTGGCTTCACCTTCTCGTTCCCCTGCCGACAGACCAGCCTGGACGCTGTGAGTGTAAACTCTTCCTTCCTCTCGGATAAGCTGTACTGTCTCTTACTTCTTAAATCAGCAGCGTTTGAAACTGAACCTGATGATTCTGCAAAATGGGTCCACATGTATCCAGTGTCAAGAGAAAAACCCAAATCAGCAATTTTTGTAGAAGCAGGATTTTAGCTTGACAACACTGTTTAATTAGACCAAAAATAGACTTTTCGGTGCACCGAGCAGACAAAAAAATGCTTTTATAATTGTGTGTCTGCATGTGTGCAGGGCATCCTTGTGACATGGACCAAGGGCTTCAAGGCGACAGACTGTGAAGGAGAGGATGTGGTGGGACTGTTGAGGGATGCCATTAAGAGGAGAGAGGTAGGATATGAGGAGCAGCATCCTTCAGTTGACATGGCACTGCAAAACTCCACATTGCGATGTTGCATCATATTATGTTTTTCCTCTTTAGGAATTTGACCTGGATGTAGTGGCCGTAGTGAACGATACAGTAGGAACCATGATGACCTGTGCCTATGAAGAACCCACCTGTGAGATTGGACTCATCGCCGGTTAGTTCCACTTTTATTGCGTCTTTTTGATACATATTCAAATTCTGTTCTCTATTCATCTAATGTGTCTGTCTGATTGTAGGCACTGGCAGCAATGCATGTTACATGGAGGAGATGAGGAACGTTGAGATGATAGAGGGAGACGAGGGACGGATGTGTGTCAACATGGAGTGGGGGGCTTTCGGAGACAACGGATGCCTTGATGACATTAGGACAGAGTACGACCGTGCTGTGGATGACTTCTCCCTTAATCCAGGCAAACAAAGGTCAAAGTCCCCTCTCTCTCTCTTCACTCGACTTTCAGCTCAGCTCACTCACTCACTCATTCACTCACTCACTTCAGACACCACTACGACGCACACACGCGCACACAGCACACCACACACACACACACACACACACATATGTCTACGTTCTTCAAGTCAGAAACACCTGCTAGCATATTAACCCTTCATTTCCTGGACTCATATCCTTATGTGTGGATGTATGGATATGTCTATTTATGTGTATATTTTGTGTTTGCATGTGTTTTACAGATATGAGAAAATGTGCAGTGGCATGTATCTTGGCGAAATTGTACGGAACATCCTGATTGATATGACCAAGAGAGGATTCCTATTCAGGGGACAGATTTCTGAAACACTGAAGACCAGAGGCATCTTTGAAACAAAGTTCCTCTCACAGATCGAGAGGTAAAAAAAAACAAGATTGCACTCTATTAGCAACCCTTGTAGAACACCATCTGCAATAAATGATCTTTCCTTATTTTACTGTTAGGTTACTGATGTTTTCAATTCTTTGTCTTTCTCCAGTGACAGATTGGCTTTGCTGCAGGTGAGATCCATCCTGCAACACTTGGGGCTGGACAGCACCTGTGATGACAGTATCATAGTCAAAGAGGTAAGCTATAAACAGATACATATGTGTGTGCAAAGCCTTGTGTGAAGATATGTTTTTCAAATTTGAACTCAATCGAAACATTTAGCACAGAGGCTTGTTTAGTTCTTAATCCAGACTAATGCTCAACCCTTCATAATACATCCAGGGCAGTTATCAACACAAACTGTTGACCCTTACTGCACCTCAGATGGTGTTTTTGAGAGAATGTTTATTACATCCATCTAGATAAAACAATTGCAGTCTAATACAAAAGTCCTGAAATAAAATCCTACTTTTGTGAAGGTTATCGTGTTCAGCTTTTTTTTGAAATATATAGAGTTGTACGGACAGGTGTTTCTATTATTTTGTCTACTCTATTTAATCAATAGGGTAGGGTAAATAGGTAGAAAACACCTGTCTGTGTAAGGCAATACAGTCTGAGCCTCTCAATACATTATCATGCTTGTCTTGTGAAAGAGGCAGGCATATGTGACTTTACAAAAGCGAGTCATATTTATTTTCAGTGTTTGTGTAGCGATATGATATTTTCTGGCTCAGCATCAGCAAACTGTGGCACCAACAGCCTGTTGAAGTGTTGCAATAATGAAATGGCGTTCTGTGTGATACAGGTAAATGTGAGCGCGGTGTCACATCGTGCATGCTCAGATGTGTGGGGAGGAATGGCAGCCGTGGTCCGATAAGATCAGAGAGAACGCGAGGACTGGACCATCTGAACATTACCCGGTTGTAGGGGTTGGACGGGACTCTCCGTACAAACTACAGTCCACAGTAAGTTGAATTTGTCAGGTAACTTGACCGTACACACTTTTCCCACTTGTCCTCTGAAGGTGCCTTAAAACAATGGTACTATATGGTGGACTAGGCCACTTTTAATATAATGTGAATTGACTAGACTTAGACTGGACTACCGGTCCTAGTAGCATCCAATGACGACATTCACCTTAGTTACATGACAACTCTATTTGAATTAATGTTCTCCCAATTGCTAATGCAGAAGACTTGCAAATGCACACAAAGACAGGCCTGAGCAGTTGTGGACAGCAGTGATGGGGGAGAGCTGCAGGCATTGTAGCTCCAGCAAACCAACAGCTACCTTTTATGTTTTATTTTGTCATGCATCTCATGATAGATTAGCAACTACTGTGGTGTGATGTTGAGCCTCTGAACGCATTTGGCAGAATATCGCAAAATTTTTTGGTCATGGTCCATGTGTTCTATCAATTATGTAACAATTAAATGTAAAATAATTTTAAATGTTCCAGATACCTGGATGATCCAT